AAATGAAGTAATAGCCATAAATGTAATAGCTTCCCAAGCTCTGCCAGCAGCAGCTTTTGTGGTTGCTGATTTGGATCAATTATTATTCTACACATATGTAGGTACAGAGTATTTCATGTATTTTCATATTAAATTTGTTTAAACTAAATTAAAAATATAAATGTAAAACAAACGAGTTGAACATTAAATTCTTGCCACCCATTTTCCCCGTAACAGCCATGCATTCATCATATGTAGCTATAACAGCTATAAGATTTAGTGCAATTATAATTTTGCTAATACTTTAGACAGTATTAAAAATTCATGTATGGGAGCTTTGTAAAATATTGTGATAAACATGCTCAACATATGAATATACTACATAGACTTACATAAAAATTACCTAATATGGTTCAAAAGTTATCTGAGTTCATACTGACGTACCCACGGATATGTATATATCCAAACGTCTTGTCATGCTTATTTATACGTGTGTACCTATATCATTGGGTCGCTACGCCTTTTGACTTTCTACTATGGAATAGAATACAGAATTTTTTGAAAGATTGATCGTTGTCAAAAATGTAGACTGCAAGTCGGGCGATATCATAAATTATGTATTTATCACCTTACAGATTTTTAATAATATTATGGGCTTAACTTTTTTAAATTAGACAATGGTATTGAATATTCAAAAACTGCCACAATAGCAATAAGCAACAAGATAAATTGTTTATGTGCACCCTTTCTTAGTAAATAGCAGCTGGTTACCCTAGAATGGGCCTCACAACCTCACAATGGCAGCTAACCTAATAATCGATACTGGCGGGTTTCACAAGCTCGTCACTTGTTGCACGTTTGGCTCATGAAACGCAAAAGCTTTACAATTGATTGGCATACAGTACAGAATTAAATCAATCAAGCGTTTTCGAATTTGTCAAACAGCCAATAAAATTACTTTTAAAACAACAGAAAATCTTCAAGTCAAGCATACCCGACACTGAGACACCCTCTACCTGTACCTGTGCGTTGTTATGTGCGGACAGAGCAGAACTCTGGACTCTGCTCTTGTAGTTTGGGGGCGTATCTCTGGAGTAAAATTGTTTCGCTACTTGGATTTAAAACAGAGGAAGAGAGCAACATAGTTTAGTTAATATAAACTTTTAGTTACTGTAACTTTAAAATTATTTAAATTGACCAAATTCTTCAGGGAAGCTTTTTCCAAAGAGAGAACGATGGGAAATATCAAAATCATTCAAATGAACTTGTGTCCTAGGGACTAGCAGAGTCAACCAAGTTTTGGGCTTAGATGTTTTCTAAATCCAACCGTTCACCTAGATCTAAGTATTTTTCTTGTCATGTGATATAATATATTATTGGGGTTGAGTTGCTGCCTTCATTGTGATTTGTACGAACGTAATATACTATTTTTCCCTTTCGGCTACAGGGTACAACAATTGCGTTCTTGCCAGCCCGCGCGTCATCAGAGTACTGGCGATTCCAATTTAATGTGAATATATAATAAATATGTTCAATAAAAAGACGAAGATGAAAGAATAGAAAAGAGGCAATCCAGCCAATTTATATGCGCAATATCAACAAACATACTTAGTTTGTAAACAATTAAAATAATTTGATGGACGCACCAAATTTGTAGCCAAAATGTAGAGCCAAAATCTAAATTGAGCTCGTAACGGAATAACGTAATGGAGAATTCAGACAGCAGTAAAGTTCAATTAAGAGCGCAAAGAGCAGCATGCGCGTATTTATGGTGAGAGATGGAAACGAGAGAGCGGACATTTTCAGAGCAGCGATCAGTGGAAAAAATGTTGGTAATTTATTTATAACAATGTAATTGTTTAAATATGCTTTCTGTGTATGTGTGTGTATATGGGAGAGAGATAGAGCAGCTGAGTATGTTAAATGTTTATTCTATTTAAGAAAATTGGAGCAAATAAAAAGAGAGAGAGACAGAATGGCGGGAGCAGCTGCTGTGCGCGCTGATGAAAGATCGGCAATCATACCCATTCACTGTATACTATACTTTGAAAATCAGCTGACATACAAGAATATGCACGCGCACCGTGTGCCGGGACAATAAAAACTACTTACAAAAGCACGTATACGCCCCGCTGACAAGGGAAGTTCACTAGAGTAGATTCAAGATCATCCTTTTTACCCTTTTCTGCTTATGTATTTTATTGGTCCCCTTTTTCGATTATAATACATATCTGTATGTATTCGACGCTTTTCACTTTGACTTTTTTCGTGTTTTCTGTGCTCTTCGCTGTCTTATTTTGTGTCATTTTGAGCTCTTGCATGTTTAATTTTTCTGCTTATCGATTGTAGCCCAAATTTTACGTTTCACCAGCTCGTATTTGTGCCAAAATATTTGATGTGGGTGCACGATGCCACAGTCGCCGTCACCACGCCGGGCCCCAACAAAATTGGCGGCGGGCTGGCGGCTAAGAGATACGCTTCGCTATTCGTACGACTGCGCAAGCAGGTACGTATTTATATATGTATGTATGTATACATATGTATACCTACTATGCATTCATACACACATGTATGTACATGTGCGTACATGTATTTCTGTGTGTGCAGCAAATACATGCCTCGACTTTGATGTACGCCTCAGCGTAAATTCATGTTGACAAACGCATAATGACGTACTATATGACGAAATGAGTCGATATACAAGTTGCGTGCCAAAGTAAACAGGACTTTTTAAAAATAAAAAGCAATACTCGATTATACCTGTAACCAAAGGGTGAACAATTTTGTTTATCTTTAATTTTTTGCGAGAATCATGTAACACACGAAGGAGGTGTGGCAGACCCCTTAAAGTAAAGTAAAGTAAAGTATATTCTTGATCAGTATGACAATATATATTGCTGTCTATCCTTCAATATGAACGAAAGAGTCTCAGGAAGTCAGTATAAGAGTTAGAATAACCCAAGCCGATATCCACATTCTTTTAAGTACTATACGAGAAATGTACAAGAGTATATAAGGTTTAAGGCTTATAAGTAAAAAATTTAACAAACAGAAGGAGGCATTGCAGACCTTATAAAGTATTCTTGATCAGCATGAAAAAACAATAAGACCTAGCCCTTTCTGCCTGTCTGTGCTTACCCAGGTGTTTTATCTCAGAAACTATAAGAGCTAGAGACATCAATGCCTTCTATGATTGAAATCTGTGTTTCAGAATTTTCAACCTGCCCCCACTCCCCCGCAATTAGTGATTTTCCAAAACTCCCGCAATTCTTTGAATTTGGCAAATACCTCCACTTAGTGATTATGTGGCCGCGTGCCGAGTTCCATCATGATAGGTTAATTTGAAAGGAAGTTATAGCCCTGGATATAATAAAATCTCTCAAGCTCTGCCCGCAGCTGTTGTTGTTGTTGCTGGTAGCGCATCTCCGTACTGCACACACGCTCACACAGGCACAGGACTCACATAGACACAATTCCTATGTATAGTAAATGTGAGTTACATGAATTCGAAAACGAGTAATCGATCAACAAAATTTATTGTAATACATATTTAAAATTTCGTTTTTTTTAATTTTCTTAATTTTTTTAAATTTCTATAATAATCCTACACATACAGACATACATATGTACGCAGTATTTCAAAGTCGGGACACCTGACTATAGCTTCTCCCCTTGTTCAAAATGTTTAAGCCATAAATGTAATCTCTGTTTCAGCAACAGCATCGACTCTGCACTGTACATAGCCACACGGTGTAATATAAATTTAAAAAATATTTTAAAGTTTTTTAGGGCTTTTGGCCACTTTTGTTCAAATCTACACAAAAAAAAAGAAACACAAGCCCATGCAAAAACATTAATAATAACTTCGCAAACACGATCATACCAATGTATGTGTAGAAAATAATGCTGCCACCTTATAATACATACTATTTCATACGAGTAAGTTTCTTCTCGTTTAATCATTTATTCTATACTTGTATTATTTGTTCACTTTCGTCTTTCAGCCAACTGGATTAGATATGTAATCGATTAAACTACGGAAAATTTAAAAGATTTAATGGAATACCCCTCACATTTTCAATAAATTTATTTTTTCAAAATTTTTGCACAGCAATTTGTGTTGCAACACGGGGCATGCCGCCACAAACAATCGTGCTGCGCGCTATGCATTCGCACAACTCAAATCAATACAGAATGCGTACGAAACAAGATCCAAAACGCGATCCCTAACAAAAACAACATTGTTTGAGTTTTGAGTAGAGGAGTGCGCTGAATATTAATTAAAGTTTGCGCTTAGTTTGAATTCTTCCCTACTCACACTCACAAGCGAACAGAGACACACTCTCAACAAGTGTTTTGCGTTGTAAAAACAAACGAGAGAATCTCACAACAAAAGACAGAAGCCCAAGAAATGCAAAGAAAACAAGCAATCCATATTAAACGCATTCCACAGAACCTCAGAAGATCAAAATCTAGCAGCGAGGCATGCAAAACGCGTAGTCCCGCAAGATAAGAGTTGAGATTAAAGACGCGACGCTGGCGACGTCAGCGGTAAGAGAGAGTTTACGGCGACGGGCTCGTAGAGAGGGGCTGTAAAGCGGGGGGAGTCCCCAGAGCACTGGGTTTAGAAGAGACCCGAATACACTTAAAACTTCGAACATTTTCAATATAACATTTCATACATGCAAGTACTATATGTATGTAATATAATAATATATACTATTTGTGCATGGACTGGGCTTGTTATAAGGAAAGTCAAGAACTGAATTCCCACCCCGGCGTGTTGTTCCTGTCGACGACTCTGAGTGAAGTGTTGCATAAATGAGTAGCAGCAAAAATGCCTCTTAGCATTGGGGACACGCTTTTTGCATATGTATTTCGCCTTGATGATGATCGACAGTTTGACACTTTATGTCGTAGCCGCTGTCAAAGGATGGCGGTTACTTATTTGCTTTCTGTTCGCCTTGCCTACATCTTGGCGACTGCGCCAATTTATTTTTAGCCTTGCATCTCAAACTTACTGGATAAACAGCAACGGACGCTATTTGAAAGTGCTAAAAGTCATGGCCAGAGGGCGCTTCGCTCAATTTGATTCTTTTTGAAGTCCTTATATGCGTAATTATCTTTTTCCTTGACTTTTGCTGGTTTTCTTCACTTTTGGAAATTAAAACGCACAATTCAAGCACTTGTTATCGAAAATGTATTTAATCGGTCGTAAAACACTTTTCCTGCCTTTTCCACGTTCGAAACGCGCATTTCGGCCACCAAACCGTTTCACGGCAAACTGCTTACTTCGCTTCCAACACGTAAATTCAAATAGCCGCTTGATCGCCGACCGCCTCAGCATGCACAGGCAATAAAATAAAAGCAGAGCAAGCCAGCGGCCAATATACATACAGTATGGAGGCGGGTGAAAAAAGTTTGGCGCGCTTTGGGCGAACATTTTCAAAGCGAGTGTCGTCATTTGAATGCGCTCTTATTTATTTGAATGCTAAGAGAAATGCCAACTAAAGAGAACGAGAGCAATTGCTTGTACGAATATGAAAGCTTTAGCGCAATTGTAACAAGAATGGAATGCCGCAGTCGTGCGCGATTGACTCTTCAATCACTTTTTTTAACATTTTTATTATTATTAATATTAGCTCATAAAACATATTGACGAGGTGAGAAACTTAGTGGCGAAAGTAAAACTATAGCTATTATTTTAATAATCCATACGACAAAAATAAAAATAACGAAATCAAAATTTTACACTTTGAGGCATATCGATCATCTCAAAAATAAATTGTATTTTTGAAACAATCGCAATTCAGCGCCTTGTGTTTTGTATTAAAGTGACGCCAAAATTAAAAGTTACAAAGTTAACCAATACAAGTTGAAATAACTTTTTAAGAATATGGATAGTATTCAATCAGGTATTAACTATGATTTTTACTTTATAACACTTTGTATCGCCAAATACATACAAGACAAAATCTTAAATGACCTTTTGTGAGCGTGTTTTGTTTACTGTTTCTACTTTCCCTTAATCTTTTAGTTGTGATTCCGATGCTCATATTATTCTTTATAGTATAATAATAATAGATTAAATAACAAAAGGAATCAGCTTGAGTTTGGTTTTTTCGAATTGTGTTGTTCTGTGATTCTCGTCTTCGCTCCCGTTCTGCATTTCATATAAGTATTTTATGTTTATAGTTTTATCTTTTATTAGTTTCAATTTTTCGTATAGGTGCTTTTCAATGGGCTATATACGATATGCAAAGCAAAACCCTATGATATACACAATATTGAGAAACGCTGTAAATTTAAGACATTCGCACATTTACATATTCCTGACATGAAATGCTTTCGTGTTGATCAGCGAGTTGACTGAGGAAGCTGCTGAATCGAGAAATAAGGACATACAAAAATGTCGACCAACAAATAAAGATGTTGGCCCGTCAGAATGATGTATAATATATCATATTAAACTTCATACTACAATAAAATATCATACGGCTTTATTATTAATTACCAGGATGTGTGCTATATGATATATAGGTGCTCTCTGGATGCAATTTGGTCAACTGACGTAAAACCTCCTTAAATGGATACAAACCAAAATGTTCAATTTGGATAAAACACAAAAAACTATATATAGTATGTAGGAAGAATTTATTCTAAATCGGTCAGTTATGTGAGAACTATATGTGATATAGTTGTCCGATCTTGACGATTTTGATACATTGCCATCTTACTACAAAGATAAGCCTATGTCAAAAATTTCAGTACGATAGCTCCACTTTAACTATTTTAGTCGCTTACTCCCATACGAGTCCGCCCTGTGCAATGTTGTTCCCGGACTGCCTTGCTCTTTTGCTAAAAGAAAATATTTATGATAGATGCATGAAAACCAAACCACTTAGATCTACTTTAACCAAATGGTAATAAATGCCACTTACGTTGTGTTTTATTTGTTAACATTAGAGAATTGCTGAAGTATTAAATATGTTGATTTGATATTATTCAAGGAAGTAATAACGCCTATTTCTCCACTCAGGAAGCGTTTCAGACCTTCAAAGAAGATATATACATATTCCTTATTCCTGCAACCCTGGCTTCAAAACTGACTTGGAGCTCTCCGAAAGTAGGATTATGGTGCCAAATTCAATGCTCACCACTACAGCTGATTCTGTACCCTAATTTTACCTTCTGTCAAAACAACGAAGGCTACGAATACCATATGGAATCCATTGCAACTAAGCGTATCTCTCACCCCTGCTACATCAACGTTTTAAAAGAAAAAATTTTCCCATCTTTACTTCTACGAAATAAAATAAAATAAAATAAAATAGAAGCTAAACAAGCCTAAGTCCGTCCTTACTTTCCTATTACGAAGAAGGTTATCTCTTTTTGTTTTGGGGATAGGGTATGTAATGTCATATGTAATCATACAACATATATACTTGTATGTATGTACATATGTCGTATGGTTAGTGGTAATTATACCCTGTACCCAAAGGGTACAAGGGTATATTCGTTTTGTGCGAGTGCACATGGAACACACTGAAGGAGGCTTGGTAGACCCCACAAATATATATATTCTTGATCAGCATGACAAGCCGAGTCGATATAGCCATGTCCGTCTGTCTTTCCGTCTGTCCGTCTGTCTGTCGTCTGATTGAACGCAAGGATCTCAGAAAGTATAAGAGCTAGAATAACCAAACTTGGTATACAGATTCTCCTGAGCCCGAGAAAGGACGAGTTTGATAATTTTTTCTGATCCACCCCCCCCCCCCCCACTCCCCCCCTATTAACGGTTTTCTATAACTCCTGTAATTCTTGGAATTTAGAAATAAAATTTGGTAGTCACATTAGGTTAGTTATTATGTATCCGTATACCATGTTTCATTATGAAAGAATGATCGGAAAGAAAGTTATAGCCATATAACCGGGCCCAATGCACACATACATACATAAGTACAAGTACACAAACACGCATAGGCATGATTCTGATGTAAATGTAAATGTATGTATGCATGCATGGAATATTTTATATTTAATTTAGTTAATTAATTAAATTAATTTAGTTAATTAATTAAATTAATTAATTTAATATCTTTTTTGTGGGCTGGTACAGGGTATTTAAGAGTTGAGCCTGCTCGACTTTAGCATTCCTTTCTTGTTAATAACAATCGGCTTCGGACCAGATGATGACTTGCTACCTTTTTTTTAGGGCTACATAAATACGAAGTGTTATGTAAAAATATACCTTATTTTTCATATTCTACACAATTCAACCAGAGTATCGGAGAGGTACAAAGTTAAATGCCTTCATAGATATCTATATATATGTATATATATAGATAAATATGTACATACATATGTATGTACCAACACACTTATTCATATTATATGCTGAGGGCAGACACATACACACATTGACAACAAGAATACCACCTGAATAAATTTAAGTTTTGGCTATTTGAATACGGCTAAGATTGTTTCTTTCCGCTATAAAGTGTGAAGTATTGGGTTTTTTACGCAGTCGCAAAGGAACCATTTCCTGAAGTTTACGGGGTTTAAATGGCAACCAAAGAAATTTATATTTTCCTGATTATCACAATTTTCTGCTATCTAACTAGAACTGGAGTCTCGGCCGTAACGTGTGATGTTGCCCCCCTGGACCCAAGCTGTGTGAATTGTACAATAAGCCCGACAAATGCAGAGTGCTTTGCTGCAACAACTACGACGACCGTGGCAACAACTACGAGAAGATCTCTAGAAGGCAGCATAAGGAGTGTGATCGGAAGTGTCCTCAATCAATATAATCTGCGCAAGAAAAAATGGCTGCGGTCCGTACAGGAGTACAGACTATTTTAATTAATATTTATGGCCACTGAATGAACATACTTGTATGTAAGAGAATGTGTGAGATAATCGCAATTATTAGGCAGATTGCAAACACAAGAGGAACGGAATAAAATTCTGAATTTCGTGCAAAATATTGAATATGTGAATAATACCAATAATAGATATTACATAAAAACAAGAGGGGCATTGTACGAAATTGGCGAAATTTTAAAGTGGCGGAAGGGAGAATATTATCAAACATAAGGAAGCGCGGCAGAACACCAAAAACATATTTTCCTGATCAGTGTGACAAGACGATTCGATCGTCTGTGTGAATCACAGCAAGCATAAAACCTGGAATAATCAAATCGGGTTCAGAATCTTCCAATTTTTTTTCTGATGCAAAAGCATGCGATTCCTTATTGTTATACCCTGTACCCAAAAGGTAAAAGATATACTAGTTTTATTTAAATTTTAAAACATTTAATCTTGGAACATATCAAAAATAAAAAAAAAAAAATTGGTTAATATATATTCTTGATCAGTGTGACAAGACGATTCGATCGTCTGTGTGAATCTCAGCAAGCATAAAAGCTGTAATAACCAAATACCAGGTTTGGTTCAGAATCTTCCAATTCAGAGAAATATCATGCTCGTGTTTCTTTTTTCTGATGTAAAAGCTACCGTTCCCTTAAAAGGATATACTAGTTTAATTTAAATTTTAAAACATTTAATCTTATATAATATCAAAAATAAACAAGAAAGGAATGCTAAAGTCGAGCAGACTCAACTCTTAAATACCCTGTACCACCCCACAAAAAAAATAAATTAATTAAATTTAATTAATTAATTAATTTAATTAATTAATTAATTTAATTAATTAATTAATTAAATTAATTAACTAAATTAAATATAAAATATTCCATACATGCATACATACATTTCCATTTACATCAGAATCGTGTCTATGCGTGTTTGTGTACTTGTACATATGTATGTATGTGTGCATTGGGCATGGTTATATGGCTATAACTTCCGGTCAACCTATCATAATGAAACTTGGTATACGGATATATAATTACTAAATGGATGTGTCTACCAAATTTTATTTTAAAATTCCAGGAATTACGGGAGCTATAGAAAATCTTGAATAGGGGATGAGTGGTGGGATGCATCGGGAAAAATGAACAAACTCGTCCTTTCTCGGGCTCAGGAGAATCTGTATACCAAGTTAAGTTATTCTAGCTCTTATACTTTCTGAAATCCTTGCGTTCACACAGACAGACGGACAGACAGACAGACGGACATGGCTATATCGACTCGGCATGTCATCCTGATCAAGAATATATAGACTTTGTGGGGTCTGCCACGCCTCCTTCTGTGTGTTACATGTACACTCGCACAAAACTAATATACCTTTGTACCCTTTGGGTACAGGGTATGGAATTCGGTTGACAGGCAGATTTCTTAAACTGATTTTTATTTCAATGTATTCTTATTATGCATTAAAAGCTGATGACAATTGATTGAAATACATTAATTTAAAGGAATATCCATATTGTCTTCTATGTCTTCTCTATGAACGCATGAATATGAGTGAGTATAAAAGCTGGAATAACCAAACCTGGTATTCAGAATTTTCCAATTCAGAGAAATGACAGGCATGTGCACTTGGTAATTAGAACTAAGAAATCATTGCTATATAACAAAACGACGCCTTAATTCGAACTCATCGGCGTCCAACACTCGACAATTCAAAGTTCCATAGAGAAAAGGCGGAAGGATTGTAAGTACATTTTGCGACAAGTTCAAACTTGTATCAACGTACAGGAGTTAGTCCCGCCCGTCGCGCCGCACTTCATAACGCCAAGCAGACCGAAAAATCGACTTCTGCGCATCTAACGGTCCCGCTCAAGATTCGTCCCGGTAACTGTTTTTGTTATGATTAGTTTGGCTATTTGACACACTTCGCACGAATTGGTTTGCTTAGTTATCACTCAGTTACTGTTACTCTTTTGACATTATTATAGTATAGCAGTTAATAAATAATAATTGATCAACACTTAATAATTCGAAGTTTTATTTATTTTCTCTCATATATTTTGAACCATTTGATATTTTGAAGACTCGATAATTCGTAATATTTTAAGAGTCCCTCCAGCTTCGAATTAACGACAGTCGACTGTATAATAAAATAATAAAAAAAGGGAATATTTATATTGTGTCCATAATAAAATGAAAAGTATTGTAATTACTTGTATCGCCTTCAATTACTCTTTTCGACAGTGTGGCAGCATTTAAAATAGTGGCAGCACCATCTGCAGTCGTCGGAACGATGGTGGCTTTGCACCAATTCTGTCATTCTCGTTCGCATTTTGCGTGTATTTTACTGCATTTAGAAACAGCCGCGTTAAAGCATGCAACCAGTGTAAAATCGAAATCAAGGTAAATTTTTGCCATAGAAACTTTTACACCTGTATCACACCAGTTTAACCTCAAATTCGGGGCACCAAAAGTAACATAAATTACTTTCCCTTAGAATTTTATAGTGAAATAAACGGGGCGTGTGTGATGTAATCGAGTGAGGGAGTCAGGTGCCACTGAGGTGTGCGTACGGTTGTCATATCGAATTACGCGATCTAAACTATGTGCAATTTAATAACAGAATTGCCGCTAATTGGCTGGGGCTGGAAAAATGCAGACTTAACCTCATTTGTCCAAATTGATTTATAAACAGTTGGAACAATTCTTATAAGAGACGACGGCCGTTCCGCCATGATTGTATGCTGAACGCGAGTATTGGCCTTTGCAAACGTCCGAGCGAGATGGCTAGTTGTAGGAACTGGAAAGTGTATTTGTGTGCTGCCAGATGCGGGCATTTTGTTTAACAATTTGCAGCTACTTCTTTAGTGGCTTTAATTATTACATATGTTTTTCAAAACAAATTATCAATGCATTCCAAAATTTAAAGTAAGATGTTTAACTGAGTGCTTTTTTCGGTATTTTTCTTGCCTTAATTCTTAATACTTGCAACTAATCAAATGTCTGGCAGCACTCACTTATGTCTCTCCCGGCTCGTTTGCACTTCTTCTATAATTTGTTTGAGCACATGTGTGCTTGTGATTGCCCGTCCCAATTGTTGCTTATGCTAGGCTTGTGCTGTTTGCTATTGCCAGTATTTGAACAACTTCGGTATAACATTTTTACAGTGTACACGGCAGTTGAGTTATGAACAATCAGGGCTATGGCGGCATGCAATGGATACAGCACCACGCATCTGTGGAGTCAGACGTTGCGGAGAACGATGTCGGGGACGCAGCTGCGTACCTTATTAACGGTAATCCAACAGAACAAGCCCTCGATCACATGGCGGCAGAAAACCTGATCTTTATGCGTGATGGACAGCTGAGCGAGATTATAGCTGCTAATGAGAACGGGGGTGCCACTGTGCTTGTTAGGGCTGACGGCAGTGCCGATGCATACGCCGACTCGTTTGACGATGACGCTCAAGTGGTCACCGAAGAAGTCATCACGGATGACTGGGTGCAACATCAGGGGGCGGAGCGGTGAGTAACCGAATATATTAGCAGAGAGATGTAAGTCACAGAAGGCTCGCTCTTATAGCGTGGAGATAGCAGCGGAGCAAATTGCAGGCAATAGCAGCTCGCAGGAGCTGCTTGACATGGAACAGGATGAATATACAGCATTGCGCCCGTACCCATGTGACTTCTGCAGTCGACGATTTCGCAAAAAGGCCAGCCTTAACAACCATATGCTGGCACATCAAAACGATCGTCCTCACCTGTGTAAATTGTGTGGTGCTCGTTTCTCGCGCCGTGCAGAGCTCATTAGTCATTTTAAAGCGCACGCCGAGGCTCAGGATGCGGCGGATGCAGCAATGCAGGAAGCAACAGGTACGATAGATCCGTTTAGTGCAAGAACGTTTAATATTTATCTAGTTACGTTGTGAGTTGCAGTTAAATTTGAGCCGCATCGCAGATCCATTGACGATCATTACTATGACCAAGATTGGTCGCCTTGTCCGGATCCTGTGCCCAGTAGTACCATTCAAACTGCGGATCAGACGTCTTATCCTCATGAATCAAACACCTCTCTAAGCGCTGTCGTTGTCCCGGCAGCAACGCGTGGTCGTATTAGTCGACTCAAGCCGAAGGAGGAATACATTGTGATTGCAGAAAAGCCGGCGTTAGCGGAGCTCGAATACATTGAGAGTCAGCAAGAGCAGCAGTCGGTTATTTCGAGCTTGGATTTAGCGCATGTGGCCCAGCCTGTGCAGCAGCCACAACCTCGTTTCCCCGTGCTGGACGAGAGTAAACCCTTCGTATGCCAGCAATGTGGGTTGGCATTTGCACGGGAGAAGGCGCTGGTCTCTCACGTAAAGGTAAACCATGTAAATTATGTAATGTTGCAAGTGTTATTAATGGGTTTAAGCGCTTGGTGCATCATAAGAGTGCATAAACCGCAATGTAAAGCTTAAACATCGAACTAATTCTATTTCCTTGTCCACAGAACCATCGTGTGGACTCCCCTTTTGAGTGCAACAAATGTCAGGAAATGTTTTGGGATAATAACAGCCTGCAAGAGCATCAGAAGTCGCATCAGTTTGAGGAAAGCAACTCTGAATATGACCCCACCTCGAGTGGAGACAGTGCCTCTGACTCCGAGCCAGAACAACTCTACGGGGACTTCTACTGCAATGAATGTGGCATCTGCTTCCACCGACAAGATCTGCTTCGCCGTCATACTAAGCAGCACGAGAAATTGGCTACAGCTAGAGCTGGTGCTCATGTAGAACCAACGTCAGGCACGACTGGTATTGGTCATGAGCTTGCTAAAGATGGGGAGCATTGCTGCAGCACATGCGGCAAATCCTTTCCCAGCGCTCTGGAGTTGTTAGCTCACGCCGAGATTCATGCGCGCTTTCCGCCTTTCAAGTAAGTTGTCGAATATATAAAATAATTGGTAAATAAAATCTTCACATTCAGGGCTTATATGTAATGTAATTATTTAATCAAAAAACATAATGATTGAAAATTATATACATATAAGTATTTTTTCCTAATTTGAGTGTTTACATCCTGTACACAGAAGGAGGCATGGAAGATCCCCTAAAGAACATATATATTATTGATCAGAAAGACAAGACGAGTCGATATTGCCATGTCCGCCTGTCTGTCCGTATGAACGCAAGGATCTCGGTAAAATATAAGAGCTATAATAACTGAACTTTGTATCCTCCTAAGCAGAGGACAAATGGGTCTTTTATCTGATCTACCTCCCCACTCCCTCACTATTGATGATTTTCCATAACTTCCGTAATTCCTGGAATTTAGAACTCAAATTTGGTACTTCCATCTTGTTAGTGCTTATGTGTCCGTATAATGAGTTTCCACATAGACACATTCTTATGTAAATGTGCACTTATACACCCTTTACTTGCGTTCGAATACCCAAGGTGGTATAATGTAAACAAAATTTGTGTAATATTAAAATTTTATTACATTTTTCATTTTTGAAGTTTCTACACGTGTAGAATGACAAAGTCGGGACATCCGACTTCAGCTTCTACATTTGTTTTAGCTTTTATTTTTCTTAGCGAAATCAGCAAAAGGGCTACACTATGTATTATTGATTTTATGAGGCAACCATGATAAATATGAAAACTTAAGTTTGCCACAATACTTAAATCAGTTGTACATTACCATAGACTATTCATAATTACGGCAACATTGCAGGTGCGTCCTCTGTGGCATCAGTTTCTATGAGGAGCAGGCCATCAAGCGGCATTTACACACACGCCATCCTCACGAATTAAAACCAAACTCCTGTGTACTGTGCGGTAAGGAATGTCGAGACCGAAAGGCACTTATCAAACACGCTTGGGACCATTCTCGCGAGAAATGCCATTCGTGCTCTAAATGTGGCAAAAATTTCCATAACAAGGCTCGCCTGAAGCGTCATATGGCGTCACATCGCGACAAGTCAGTGGTATGTGAGGTGTGCCAGGAAGAGTTTCCCGACGGCCGATCGCTCTCCAATCATCGCCACTCACACAGCACCACATCTCCAGGAAAACTGTTTCCATGCCATGAGTGCGGAAAAACATTTGGCTCGCGCAGCTCGCAGCAAATCCATGTTCGCATCCACACGGGCGAAAGACCCTACGGCTGTCGCTACTGCTGGAAGGCCTTCGCTGATGGCGGGACTCTCCGCAAACATGAGCGCATTCACACCGGCGAAAAGCCTTACGCCTGCTCCGTGTGCCCTCGTGCCTTCAACCAGCGCGTCGTTCTTCGCGAACACATACGCTCCCATCACTCGGGATTAGATGTGGAACGTGGCACTTACCACTGCACGGTTTGCGAAGCGGATTTGACTTCCTCCAATGATCTAATACAACATCTTATACAGCACAGCGACACAAACACGGCCAAGCAACGGCAACCTGTAGTAAGTAGAAAACAAAAACTAATTGCACATGGTTTTCTGGTTGTAGACTTATTGTCCGCTCCAGTGCGACCCGATAGGCTATTTTCATACCAACCCGAAATGCATTTAGATTCACAATTTTCATTTTGTTATCCGTACTGTGTGGAGCTTCCACGTAAAACATCCATAACAAACATGTAATCAACATGGGATTGATCGCATTTATTTTAGTTCACGATCTTTGTTTTCTATCTGATAAAATGTCCTTTTTTTTAGACCGGACCACGGAAATACAAGCGCCGGCGGAAGCTGCAGCCGCACGAGATTGCGCACTTGTGCGCCAAACCAAAGGACCCCGAATGCGACGATTACGGTAGCGACATTGACATCGGTGACTTTGATGTAGACAATGTGGAAGATTTGTTTGAAATATCGGAACCAACCAAAAAAGGGACTGGAAAAGATAAGCGCAAAAGGGGCGCAGTTGAAGGTGTCAAAAAATCAATGGCCAATGGGAGCAATACGTCAGCTAGTACCAAGTCTGAAGCAAGTGCGCAGGGCGCACAGACGGTGGCAAAATCGAATGTAGAAAAGCCACGCTATGACTCAACCAGCAGCACTTCGGACAGACTATGGGAGGAAAAGTTTATGCATGGAAGTGGACATCCTAGTGATGATGCTTACAAAACCCTCTTTCAGATTGACTCGCTGGTGGTAGTAAATGACACGGCGCTGCCTGTGGAAACGCCTGCCAGCGTGGTAAAAACGCGGCGTAACGTCAAGCATAATGTGAATACGGAGCCACAGGCACTTAGCATGTCGACTACGGCGTCTGCGTTGGAAGCCAAAAACAATAGTCATACTGGTGGCAGCTCTAACAGTCGCAGTAGCCGCAAGAAACTGGCCAAGGCAGCAAAGGGTGCAGCCCCGACAACACGACCTCGAATGATACATACCGAGAAATCGCGTGTGCAGCCGTCGACGGAGACTGTCAGTGGATCAAAAAAAACGCGCGGGAAAATGTACGTGACGCGCACCGAAACCAACAGTCCGGTTCAGACCAGTGCCTCTGCAACACGTGCTAGTTCTTCGACCATGGTCGATGATTATGAGATCATTTCACCCGCCACACAGCCACCTAATCAGATAAGCTCTAGTCCGCTGCACATTAAACAGGAGCAGGAGCAGCAACAGCGTGTGCAGCTCATGTACGATGACACACACCTGTTGCTAGACGCGACGCTTCGTGAGAAGGCATACGAAAAGTTTAATCCAAGCATTGTCAACGATCTGGAGGAGATTCTGCGCTCCCCTCTTAAGTCTGATCGCAATGCGCGCCTACGCTTCATTAGCGAGTCATCTACGACGCCACAATTTTTACCGGATGAGGAGCAGAATTTAATCAAAATTGAGCCTACATCACCGGATCTGCGCGAAATGGTCGAGAGTCAACAACGAGTCACAGCCTCAACAGGCCCTCCCGCTTCGTCCGCAAGGACCACACGCCACCAGAGACAGTCACAAACTACCAATAACAAATATCTGCCAGAGAGTATGCAGCAAAATAACTCAAAAGTGTCCATGAAGCGACTCAGTGCCAGCAAAAACGCACCTGCCTCGAAATCTAAGAAACCCAAAACGACCTCACCGTCAGCTATGACTGCCAAAGTCAATGATACCAACAGCTCGACCACCCAGTCATATCTTGGCTACGTGGACTCGTTCAATGTGAATGTACCTGCCAGCTCTAACACTGCCGATGTCAGCTCGGGTTTCTTCTCCATTTCCGAGGTCGTTTCAGCTGCGGATGCAGCTGATGCAGCGGCCAAGGCGGCAGCCACGAGTAAACCGGAGCGCAAGGCACGAACTTTCGAGTGTGAGATGTGTTCGGCAATATTCTACGATCGAGCCCAGCTGTTGGAACATGTGCACATTCATATATAGGCCTAGCCGGGGATTTTTGTAATTCCCTGATCAGACCGTTCTGCTATTATGAAGTGTGTCCTGAATCAGTTATGTTATTTAGAGTCTGTTGCTTGATATCCGAGGAGATCAACTTCATATATGCTTTACTATAAATTAGTTTTTAAGTTTATTTAAGTTTCACGGTAAATCTTTCCCTCAAGTTGGTCCTATGGGACACTATATTTTTGGAACAATTTTGTACATTTTGATGTATTTTCAATTGTAAATTGAATTACTTAAACAATAGAAGATATGTGCATGCACTGTTCTTGTATCATTGTGCTTAACTAAATTGGATATGAGAAGTGATTTGTTGTAAGGCCTATGTTTTTATACCTTAACACTTGTTTCCATGAATACGTACGCTGAAATAAATTGTTAAATAAATATTGTAGATAACGTTTATTTTTTGTAATTAAGAATCAAAAAAGGGCTGCAATGGTTAAGCTGTCGAAATATGCCAACAGATCGCTGCATATCGAAAACCGTCGACTCTTTAGATCAGTGATCTTTAAAACCATGTTAGAATATACATTTTAATTTGTATGGATTTGGTCATTTTTGGATCACAATTTGCTGTGACGCCTTTTTCTCCATTTGTTTATAACAGCTATACTTGTATACTTACTACATATTTATGTACATACAAATGTTTAAAAAAGTTGTGTGTCCGTCAAACAGAAGCTTCGATGTAAAGAAGCTCTAGTAGCTCTATAACTGGAAGAAATACATAAGTAATGAAACAGATGGACCCACATTGCAATTTGGATTCGTCTCATCATACGTATATGTATATGTACTACATATATGTTCATACATTACATACATACATATGTAAGTATGTACATACATATAAATTTTAGCCTAATCTTTCTTTTCTGTGTGGGGAGTTATTCTACTTGTATTTTAAAAGAATCTCGTGGTTGAGACAAAAGTTAAGAATCTGAACTAAATCAATTTTAACCGTTAAAATTTAACGTTAATATGTATGTTTTTTCCTTGGGTTTGGTACATTTTTTGTTTGCGAACAAACGCTATCAACTGGCACCTGTAGGTATGTACGTACATACTTGTACGTACTTGCTGAAGTTGTTCATATTGCATTATCAATATTAAAATTGGGTACAATCACTTGTACATGTCTGGATGTTATTACAATTAGAAACAGAATTGTGTGTCAATACAAAACAAATATGGATGAAAAAGCTAGATGAGCATTATATCGAGGTAGAAAAATTTTAAAAGCTTAATAACAGACATTAATGAGCTATTTATTGAAATTTGATTAGCAACTTCTATAACATTAATTTACATTGTACATAATTGAAATAAAATGTAAAATTGATATTCGCATGCAGCAATAGATAAATATTTCAGCTGGATAAATTGCAAAGTGTTGGAGAAGAAATTTAAGCTAAAAGACGACTTGTATATATTTAAAATAATTTAAATGACTTTTATTACTTTTATATGGTACAAAGGTCTTTAAAACTGTCGATAGTCCAATTATCCCACATTTTAATTGGACTCACAATCGGCAGATTTCCAGATCTGACGGGAAAATAGCTAAATTGGCAACACTGTGGCTGACACATATGTATATTTATCTGTTGATGCCAGCTGATGTTGGCGAGTATGGGTGTGTAAGCGATTTCGATATCTATCGAAAGCAAAAGTATGTAAATCATTAAAAACTTATCATCCTCTTTGTTTTCGAAATTATCGCATTTTATTTAATAATGTAATGGAAATATTCAGGAATTGAGTGTTGAAGTAAAAGGTCGGGTTTTTACTCCGAATGAGTTAGTTTATTGACAACTGTAAAACAGCCCACATTTCTATCGAAACACTGGTGTAAAATGAAATGCGTAATATACTTATACTCTTTGTGCTTTGTTCTCATCAGTCTAGCAGCCATGTCCAATGCCAAGGGTTCATTTGTTGGCGGCCAAGCCGAACTAAGCGGTGCAGACTTGGATAAAGCCATTGAGCTTCTGGATGCCTCACTAGCCAAGTTAGGCGAAATCGACGGTCCCAACTATAAGTATGTTATGAACAGTTTAGTCATGCGTCTTAGAACTGAAACAGATTCCCTTTGTTTTCAGATCCGTCAAGGTCCACTCTGCCACACGCCAGGTTGTCTCGGGCTCGCTCTATCGCTACAATGTGGAGCTGAGCGATGGCAATGCGGTCAAGCAATGTGTTGTGAAAATCTGGTCACAGCCCTGGCTCTCTGTAAACGGCACCCAGATCACGGTACAGTGCGAGGGCGATGACGATGAACTGACTCGTACATGGTAGTGCCGCTCAAGTTGAATATTCAGCTCTCCAGGCGCAAAGTTCGTCGGCAACTGAATATGTTTATATTTTGTATTGAAAAAATTGAGCCGTTAACTACTGCGCTCACGTAAAACCCGTTTTAATTTACACTAACCTGATGGTATTTAACATCAAATACACATAAATATAAAGCTTTTATTATTCTAGTTTTGTACTAAGATGTTAATCCAACTGTATACATAATACATATATAAGTTCAATATACATATCTACATACACACGTACATACCCGCATAACCGTTTGTGGGCAGTTTGATTTGCGTTAATTAGTCATCAAGCACACAACAAATCTGCGACGAATAGTTTGTTGAGTAGTAAAAGTACATACAGGCGTTCATGTACATATATATAATTTCGTATTTCCATGCAATATATACATGCATAAGTATGTGTTTACAGAAAAACTCATATTTATTTGAATTTATCTTTGTTTTGTATTGTTTTTGCAAGATGCACAATACATGAGTGCTCACAACCAAGTTTATAGGAATACGTACCCTGCTTATCTAATTGCTTATATGCATGTATGTACATACATACATATGTATAATAAAATGTACATTTTAAAATATTTGTATATGTATAAATGTCAATGTTCCACAATATTTATCACACTACTAGTATATAAATATTTTTGTATTTGCATTTATATGAGTACAGCAGGATCGGAATAGGAACCTTGTTTGTTCTAGTAAATATTTACTCTTGATGATGATATGTTGTTGCGAAATCCATTAGTTAGATTCATTAATTCTCATTTGAATTTGAATAAAAAGGGGCAGATATGTCCGAAATAAAAAGATACTACTAAAATTAATCTAGATACTGCTCTATGGCTACCTAATTGGTTGGAAAGAAAATGTAAACAATTTCGTTATTTAAAATTAATACATATGTATGTACATACATATGTTTATAAAATTATAATATTATTGAGGTTTCACAAAATATTAATTTGGAAAATTTATTCTATTTGCAAAAATTATTTTTTATCATTGCTAATAATGACATCCGATTAACGTACATATGTATGTATGTATCATGCCTAACTGGTAGGCACATCTTAAAAATCTACATTTTGGAATCATTTGTCTTGGTATTGTTCATTGCTGAGTCACAAGAACGGAAAACAAGCTGACCTGGGCAGGAACTTATTTTTTCTGCGAAATAAGACGTGTTCACATCTCCTGGGCTAATGGTCGTATAAGGTTTAAGTACCTGTACATATTTTTCCTCGGAATAGGGTGTGCTCACTTCCCTTGGGCTAATACAAGTATAACTTTCGGCACATTTCACTGACCTAGGCAAACAAATCATTTCTACTATTAAGATAATTCTTTCGCCGACCTCGTACAAAATAATTCAGAGAAATACAGGTTACAAAGGCCAATACACATCATAGCTAAATATAAGTGCATATGTATGTACATATTTATGTGTATATGTACATGCATACATATTTATTTTAATCTTTGTTCTTGTTTGTTGCCTTCTTCATAGAATATATACATATATGTACATGTATTTATGTACATACATGTATATAGCGAGCAAGTATAGTGACAGCCGAAATGGTGTTAATCAACCGAATCGAACCGGCACTTACACAGAAACAATGCGAGCATCTACATTTGAATAAAGAAACGCTCTTAAAGTTGTGATAAGCTCGTCACCGCCACTTACTATAAAAGGAATCCGGATTGCAGTAGAACGCTCAGTATAAAACTGCTGTCCGTGCCGTACACAAGGTGTCGAAATGTTCTCTTCCAAGGTGATTGTTGTTCTGGGCTTGGCCCTAACCATTGTCGCAGCCAACGTGAGTAAATAAATAACTAAAAACTGATTGAAATAATAATAAACGGGAAATCGTTTAAGCACGCAGGTTCCCGGTGCTCCACGCGTACTCACTGGAGATGATTTGAAAGACGCTGAGAACACTTTGAATAGCTCTCTGCAGAAATTGGCGAGTGGTGATGGTCCCAATTACCAGTAGGTATTCTTTGCGTACCGCAGGTTTTCAATTCACTAATTTCTAATATTCATCTACTTCAGATTGGGTAAAATTATTTCGGCCACTCGCCAAGTTGTGTCTGGTAGCCTCTATAAATATGAAGTCGAGCTTGTGGACGGTAACAAGGCCACAAAGAAGTGCAATGTCAGCATTTGGTCTCAGCCCTGGTTGGATAACGGCATTGAGGTTTCCTTTGAATGTCCCGGCGAGGATAAGGTGGTAAAGAAGCACAGCGCTTGAGCGTCTTGCTGAAAGTTCTAATCAAAAACGAGCTAAAATGATCAAATAAAATGTGATTTGTTGACTTATGACGCCAGAACTTTTGTTGTTCCAGTTTAAATTTAACAAGTCGTTGGACCAATTATCACTATTAGTGCGTCAGCAAATACAATTGTTTATACAACTTAAAGCCAACAAGATGTTTTATAACCAAACTGTGGGAATGAAATTTAAAGCCAGGAGCAAATTAAAGGTCTGTTGATGATTTATTAGTTTTGTTAAATGATCTGATATTTGTATGGGTATATTTGTCTTTTTCTATGCAAATTAGTCTTTCATGTTTAATACTTTTACTCGTCGGATCAGAACACTATATCTCACAGTTGCCATATTATATCTGCCGGTTTTGAAATGATTTTAAATTTTAATTTCTGATTTGAAAACTTTCTCAGCCCAATGTTGTATTTTTGGTTGTTGTATTTTACGAAGTAGTATACTTGAAAAGATAGGTTCAAATGGGTTTGTGCCAAAGACTTTTTGTTTATACTTGTAATGACTGTTTTGTATTGTTATCAAATGATGTATTAAGAAGTTTGTTCACCAATTACGTTGCAAATTTAAACAGAGGGGTATATACATATGTAACAGTAGCTATGCTCGCAGACTTTGGTGATAAATCAGAGTATTTTAATTAGTAATTGCTACACAGTCTTTCCTGTAGACTCTACAGTGTATTAACGAAAGCACCAGCATATTGTGAGAGCAAACTACAGTGATATTTATTGGCTGCACCGATCGCAGTCTGATTTAAACAAATTTGTTAGTTACAAGTACTATCAGCTCTAAGTTTCTCATACATATGTATGTATGTATTTATTTATTTATTCATAGTTAACGAAGAACTGGTAACTGCAAGAAAAAGAACAATATTAATATAAAATAATAATAAGAAGAAAAGAAAATTATAATTATACAGAAGAATACAATAAATCTCTATATATATAAAACAGTTTGTCCTGACTGACTGACTGACTGACTGACTGATTGGCAATCAACGCACAGCCCAAACGGTAAGAGCTAGGAAGCTGAAATTTGGACACAAGATCCCTCTTATAGTGAAAGTGAGCACTAAGAAGCGGTTTTGGAAAATTCGAACGCCAAAGGGGGGAAAACGGGCTCCAACGTTTGTATGAAAAATCTACAATTTTCATCCAATTAACTTCAAACTTAGTTTGTATACTCTCAAAAAGAATACAAGAAAAACTGTATACTGTATGGTTTTTCACCATTTTTTCTGGGGCATGAAAAAAGGGGGGTTTTCCGTGGAAAAATTGAAACACAATCAACACCCCACAGCCCAAACGGTAAAAGCTAGGAAATTTGGGCTCAAGTATCCTATCATGGTGTAGATGCGCACTAAGAAGGGATTTTGGAAAATTCGAGCTCCAAAGGGGGGAAAAGTAGCTCCAAAGTTTGTTTGAAAATTCTGCATTTTTGAATCGATCAACTTTAAATTTAGGTTTTATAATCTATAAAAGAATACAAACAAAACTGCATACTCGGTTTTTCAAAATTTGTGTTGGAGCTTGAATTATTGGGGTTTTAATATTTATTCATTTTTTCAAATGAAAAGTTTGTGTTATAAATTTTGTCAGATCGATTTCAAATTTGGGTAATATAATCTACGTAACTAAAATTACAACTTTGCATTTAACGATTTTTAAAATATGCATTTTACAAATGCAGGTAGAACAAACAATACAAAATATCAAACAGTTGGGGACAACTAAGTATGCATACACACACACACACATATACATACATACAAGCAGCTGTTCGTGTAGTTGCGTGTAAACGGTTGAAGTAGCCAAAGCAAAATGTGAGACACTAATGTGTGAATGTTCATTTGTACACATGTATGTACATACATACATACATATGTATGTACAAAAGTACATTCGTCTTGCACTGACAGGGCAAGAAATGTTAATTAATTAAAAATTATTAACATTATAACATAAACATTTTTATGCTATTTTTTCTTTGTTTAGTACATTTGGCATAAGGAGTTTTTAGGACAACGGACTACAAGGGCGTACGCAGGTTGGGCAGGGGGGACATTTCTCCCCTTAGAAAGAATTTCGCATTATGAATTACGCCAGCACCATATGTATTACATACGTACATACGTCTGTATGTATAGCATGTACATATGTATGTATGTACATCAATAAGTATGTATGTACGTTCATATATTCCTATATACATAAATAGGTTTGTATGTACAAGTATGCAGTGGGCTATCGAACACTGTTGTTTAATTGTAAAAAATAGTTTTCTATGGTTTCAAATCAAAATTTTTAAAACAACAACAACAACTTCAAGTTATTGGCTCGCAAATCTTCTTTCGTTTTGATCATTTACGCCTGTTCATTACATACGCAAAATGCCAAAAGTTTACAGTTACAGTACACATACAAATAAATTTGTATGTATGTATGTGTACAGTGTACAATCGAATACAGTATTATAATCAATAACTCTCAAACGATGTTTTTCGATGTATTTGTATTCGACATGTATTACGATATATCAACACAAGTATCGATATTTTCGATATATCGCATTTAATTTTATTATTGGGGTTTTAATATTTATTCACTTTTTCAAATGAATAGTTTGTGTTATAAATTTTGTCCGATCGATTTCAAATTTGGGTAATGTAATCAACATAACTATATCAACAAATTGGCATTCAACGATTAAAATATAGCAATATGTTTTTTACTTGCCATATATCAAATATCAAATAGTTGGGAACAGTTCGTGTCTATGTGTGCCCATGCATACATACATATGTACAAGCATATGTATCTATGCCTGTATATGTATGAAGCATGTAAATACAAAACAACAACAACAACTTCAAGTTGTTGGCTCGCTCATCTTCTTTCGTTTTGACCATTTAATGTTAATTGCAAAGGCAAAACGCCAAAAGTTTACAGTTACCGTCGCTAAGCAACGACTGCGTATGCGATAGTAAAGCAGAAACCGAATAACGGAGCTACGCATATTCTGCTTCGCATTGCGGGCAGATGTATGTATGTATATGATTTGTTCTTATCGATCTCAATAAATAATTAGATTTTATTATTTAAATATTCTGCTTATTGCATTCAAACTTCGATATTTTGATGGTATCGGTGGCTTCAACTATCGAAAGTTTTACTCTAGCAAATTGAGATGAGAATTGTCAGTGCTTTTTGATCGTGGCTCATCGCTGCACGGCATTGACACGAGTGCATATTCATATTCCGAGTTTGTGCGTGACCGTATTGACTCAAATGTGAATTTAAAATTAGGATATACCCTTATAATTATTCCCCTTTTTTGCACATAGTCTATCTTAAAACGTTGCGTTATCTCTATATATAAAACAGTTTGTCCTGACTAATTGGTGATCAACGCACAGCCCAAACGGTAAAAGATGAAATTTGGACTCAAGTATCCTTTCATAGTATCCATCATAGTGTAGGAGCACACTAAGAAAGGCTTTTGGAAAATTCTAACTCCAAAGGGGGGAGGTTTAAAAAAATATTAGTTATAGTGGTCATGTTCGTTTAAAGAAATAGTTTGGCAAGAACAAAAATGTAACGGACTACTGAACAATTTTTTGTCAAGAACAGAAAATGTTCATTTAAATACCTTAAATGCCTTCCTACTGGTAACTTATAAGGTGAAAACATATGGGTAGGTTATGCACACACAAAATAAATACAATTGGAAACATTATATTGAGCCGGGTTAAGACGGGCAATACCTGCTAGTAGTATAATAGTATAACTTAAAACAAAATTTAACAAGTCAAACAATTAGTAGAGTAAGATAGGGTTAGAGACTTTCAGAATCAAGTTGCAAGTATATTAATGATGAAATAGTCATAATGGAGTGTTCGAAGGATATGTTGTGTGAAAAATGATTGTAATTAGAACACAACACACGAAAGGGTTCATGTGAAGCAAAGTTGGATCTACAAATAGGCAATCGAAGGGTACGAAATGCACGAGTAAATCTTAACGGAACTGCCAAGTCTACGAGGCTAAGAAGGAAAGGAGAGTCAATATCAGCAAAAAGTAGTTTGTGAAGGAGGGTGACTCCTGAACAAATTTGACGGTGATGTAGGTCTATTAGTTTTAATCTGGATCTATAAGGAGGCAAGCGGCTGCGCGGGACCCAATTTAGACTCCGAAGAGCACACAGTAAGAATTGTTTTTCGACATATTGTGGGCGCCATGCGCCAGATAGGGCCAAGATAGGGCGAAACAAGGATATGTACAATGATTTCGTAGTGTACGGAACGTCAAACTCGTTCGACAAACTTTTTCTAAAAGCTGGAAGTCCCCTGACAATAACTGAAATATGGCTGTAAAATTATAATTTATTATCAAAAAGTACACCGAGATCGTTAACTGTGGTTATTCGACTTAAAGTAGAATTCCCAAGAGTATAGGAAACAAAAAGGGGCAGCAGAGCGGTGGAAGGTGATAGAGTTGCATTTCGAAAGGTTAAGCGACAGAACATCACAAATGCAATTCATTTAGGTCAGCTTGAAGATTCAGATGGGATAATAGATCAGAGTAAGACATGAACATTTTTACGTCGTCGTGTATCATTGCACATGTCCATTATTCAGGATGTCTTGGAAATGATGCCACAATATTCTCTGCCTATGCCACGAACGAAAGAGTGAGCGCGCAATAAATGTACGTGCTCTGTCGCTCTCACTGTTTTTGGCTTATTATTTATGTGCTGTCAACAAAATGCCATTCGCGGCTCCAAATTTGAAGGACAACGTCTGACAAATTAACTTTGATTGCGGCTTTTTCTTATCTTGCGTAAATTAAATCATTTTACATAATTCCTGCATCAAATTCCAATATTTTAGAATTAGCACCGCGGAAAAGCAGTCTGGGTACACTTATCAGTTTATTGAACTGAACTGTACAAAGTGTGGCAACACTCAATGTAGGCATTCTGCTCACGTTATAGCTTATATTATAACATACATACTTGTATGTATGTGTGTACAAATGCAAAAGCGTACGCAGCTTTTACCAAAGGGGGGCGCCAAAAAATTAAAATTTTGATTAAATAGTGCACGATGCATTTAAAAAATAATTTATGCATATGATCCATTAAAAAACTTCAACAAAACCAACTCAGTTTCATTTTAAGGCGAAATAGTAAGTCATAATAATGAACGTGTGGTCGACATTATATGGCAAAATTTTTTGTAGGGGGCCAACAGCTCCCCCTTCCTCCCTGCCTAGGCCCTTGGATGTATGCATGTTCTACCTACCTAAACCTTGGGGCACACAGCATCCATACAGTGGCTCACAGCTTATTTTATTTAGTACATATTCTCGCCTTTGGAGGTCTGTAGCAACAAAACGATTATGACTTAAACGAATGTACTTATGTATGTTGTATGGGGCGAACAAACATCATGACCTACATATACACATACATATGTACTTAAATCAAGCCATGATCGTGGCAAAATATCCTCTTGATTTTAAGTTTTCTTTTGATTTACTTCCGCAATCAGATTGATTGTAGGGTTCGCATAGCCTTACAATCTGTGGCAATCCACAATCTATGTGGTTTTTTGTTTTCAAATTAGAAGCATTTTAACCCTATTTATTCAAAAGAGAGCAATTCCATCGCTGCAGAATTATTATTTGGGTAGAGATAACGAGCTCTTGGCGCTTGTGATTATTTTGTAAAGGTGGTACATGACCTCATGGTGACCTAAAAATATTTATAGTCATCCTCTTTAGCAGGGGGGATTATCCATTTAAAAGGCGTTTTCAATAGACCCTTTCGCCTACATATAGTATGTAAAAGTGAGTTGACTAAACACCAGCCAGGGAGAAGAGTTCATATTTGTTTTCATACAAAAATAAACAAAAAATCATTTGAAACCGAAAGAGTTTTATAACAGCTACATAACGTTACATGCTGTCTGTGCTTGCCTAAAATAGCCATGGTACAAAGGTTCACGCTATCTACAACTGAGGGGGCAAAGTGATTGAAAGAGACAGACTGGTATATGCTGCTAGCTGTTTGGATTCGTGTAAATAATGTACTACATAGTATGCACCTAAATTGTTACAAATTTACATACCAAAAACAATATTTTCTTACACTTTTAATTGAAGGACACATAAACATTAACTTAAATCTTTTTTCTCAACTGAGAATAAGGTATACAAGAGTCGGGAATCCCCGATTCTAGCATTACTTATTAAAAGACTCGATTTTAATTAAAAACATCCGGTCGATCACCTTATCACATTCGATTTTGATTGCGTACATAGCACCGGATGACTATAAATATCGAGTAACTCTGGCTTTGTCTCAGTTCGTTTCATAGTTTATTTCAGTTGAAAGTACGCTTTAACGAAAATGTTTGTGGCAAAGCTCTTGCTCGTTTGCTCGGCCACTTTTTTGGTGGCAAATGCTTTACCACAAGGATTTGGAGCACTTGGAGCACCATCACAGCTTAGCGGCAGCAGCCTGCAGGCAGCGGAAGAGACGCTGCGTTCATCCTTGACGAAATTGGCATCTGGCGATGGTCCTAGCTACAGGTGAGTTATAAAAATTACGTTGAAGTGTGTGATGCTAACATCCAAGCTTTTAGGCTTTCGAAGATATTGTCTGCAAGCTACCAAGTCGTTTCCGGTTCCCTGAATAAGTATCGCGCTGAGTTGGTTGACGGCAATGGATCAACTAAGGTTTGCGATATTGATATTTGGTCCCAGTCTTGGCTACCGAATGGCATACAAGTGACATTCAGATGTGCCGGCGAGCCAGAACTGGTGAAGAACCATAACGCGTAATCTTTCTACCACTGTTTGTCTGTATAACAAACGTAAAAAGAACAAGAATTAAATATACCAGAGTCGATCGGTCACAACTCTTAAATACCTTGTGCCTATTCCCACAAACAAGTGTAAACATTTTTTGAAATTTCATCTCAAGATTAAATTAATTAAATTAACAAAATAAAAACAAGAAAGGAATGCTAAAGTCGAGCAGGCTCAACTCTTAAATACCCTGTACCACCCCACACAAAAGAAATTACATTCATTTAATTAATTAATTAAGTTAATTAAATTAATTTAATTAATTAACTAAATTAAATATAAACAAGAGAGAACGCTACAGTCGAGCAAGCCCGACAGTGTAATACCCTGTACCCATGTAAACTTCCGTCACTGAGTTATATGCGCCCATAGCAGCAGCAAAAAGAGGAAGAAGAAGAGCGAACTTGGGGGGATTGTACTGTAGAGAATTTGTTTCGCTAATAACTTTTCTTAGAATTGACCGAATTGAATAAAATTGTATACAACAGTAGACAATTATATATAAATTATGTGTGCAAAGTTAGGTTTAGGTAGCATTTGAAATGTAGACGCTATTGACGAAAATCTGTAGCGGGGGGAGGGGGGGAAAATCCAAAAAAATAAAATAAACTCGTCCTTACTCGGACTTAGGAGAATCTGGATGCCAACTTTGGTTATTCTAGCTTTTATAGTTTCTGAGATCCTCGCGTTCATCCAGACGGACGGACAGACGGACAGACGGACGGACAGACGGACAGACGGACGGACATGTCTAGATCGATTTCTCTCGTCATGCTGATCAAGAATATATATACTTTATGGGGTCGGAGATGCTTCCTTCTGTATGTTACATACTTTGCACTAACCTAATATACCCTTTTTACCCTACGGGTACAGGGTATAATATTCCATACATGCATACATACATTTACATTTACATGTTGGTGTACTTGTACATATGTATGGGCCTGGTTATATGGCTATAACTTTCTGATCAACCTATCATAATGAAACTTGGTACACGGATATATAATCACTAACTGGATGTGTCTACCAAATTTTAGTTCAAAATTCCAAGAATTACGGGAGCTATAGAAAATCTTAAATAGGGGGTTTTTGGTTTTTGTAGCTCTTATACTTTCTGAGTTCCTTACGTTCATACAGACAGACAGACGGACAGACAGACGGACATGGCTATATCGACTCGGCTTGTCATGCTGATCAAGAATATATACTTTGTGTTCCATGTACACTCGCACAAAACTAATATACCCTTGTACCCTTTGGGTACAGGGTATAACAAATATAAAACTCGTACATAGAGTAATATTATTACTTACATACATATGTACGAGTGTGTGTGTGTATACAAGTATATGTACAGTACATGTGTTGAGATAACATTTACGACTATAACTTCCATTGCAATTTAGGTATCACGATTAAATTCAACTTAAGGACACAAAGTACTAAATGGATTTAATTGCCAAAAGTAATAAAACAATTGCAAGAACGAGAGTCATTTAAAAAGCCGTATAAACTCAAATCCAATACGCCGAAAATCAAACTAATAAGGTCGCCTAAATAGTATATTCTGGAATGAGTGAGGTCACTCTAATAAAAAACAAGAGAAAACGCTACAGTCGAGCAAGTCCGACACTGAAATACCCTGTACCCAGACAAACTTTCGTCACTGAGTTAAATGCGCCCCTAGCAGAAGCAAAACGAAGAAGAAGAAGAGCGTACTTGGTGCTGCAGCTTGTGGGCGTAGTACCGGAGTGAAATTGTTTCGCTATTAACTTTTCTTAGAATTGACCGATTTGGATGAAATTTGAATCAAAAGTAGACTAATTAATTATGTGTGCAAAATTAGGTTTATGTAGTTTTGAAAATGTGGACAGTATTGGCGAATTTCTGTAGCGGAGAGAGGAGAAGGAAAATAAAAATAAAATAATATAAACTCGTATAGCCTAGGGACAAGGAGCGTCTACATACCGAGTTTGGTTAATGTGCGCTCAGCCGTTTGCGAAATCCAGGTGTTCATCCAGACGGACAGACGGACGGACATGTCTAGATCGATTCGTCTCACCATGGTGATTAAGAATATATATGCTGTATGGAGTCGGAGATGCTTCCTTCTGCATGTTACATACTTTGCACAAACCTAATATACTTTTTTTACCCTACGGCAACAGGGTATACAAATATAAAACAAACAAGCTGTGGCCTGATTTTCAAGCAATTTTTAATCTACAGCTGCAGTCAACTCAACAGTGGAAAAGTTTCTTCTTGTGCATCGATGATTATTACATTGTGCATCTGTTTAATGGGCCCAACGACTTCTCCCTGCCCCTCTGCGCGGCCCCCTGGTGCTTACTATGTACAAATATGTATGTACATCAGGTATAAAGCGGTATTCTATGTACATTGTTTGCCTTGTCCTGTACACACACACAGAAGGAGACCCCATAAAGTCCGACTGTCAGTCCGTCTGTCTGTATGAAGTATAAGAACTAGAAAATTAAAATCCAAATTTTGTACACAGGTGCTTTGTGAGTATACGTAGGTATAATCGATTTAATGTTTATTATTTGTTTATTTTTTAATTTCTATAAATATTGTACACATAGGTACAAAGTATATAAACATCGGGGGACCCGACTGTCGCTTTTCCACTTGTTTTAATAATCTACAATTAAGATCGGATAGAGTTTTGAGTTATTTTCTGAAAGAGATTGTAACAAATCAGGAATTAAAAGACGTTTTGTCTATCAACTTCACATTTGTTATTGTAAACGGATAAAAAAAAAATGCTTAATACCAATAACGACGTAAGACCCAATTAAATAAAGAGTCACATGAACTGGAGAGAGCACAATTATAAATTCTGAAAATTGTGATAAAGGACAACGAACTGCAAGGCAAAATAAATAATGTAGTGCTGAATTAGGTTTGGTACTAAGTCAAATAGAAATTCTTTTTATTTCTACAAAGTTTGCTTTAAATTTCTCATGCTTAGCCAACAACAACCGTTAGAGACTTTTCTCTGGTTAGTATTTCCATTGTTAACTCCTTAGCCGTTGGTTCGAACTCTCCGCACCACTCTAAACTGAAGATTGGAAATGCGAACATTCTTTCGTCTTACTCCAGTGGAACCACTTGAAGATGATGTCGTCGCAGCGCCTGGGGCTGTAGTTGTGGTTGTAGTTGCGGTTGTAAGTGTGGTTGTGGTTGCTTCCGTTGTTGTTGTTGTCGTGGTCGTACACTCCGGGTCATCGGGCAAGGCGGTACAGTCTACGCAGTCAGGGTCGGTGGCGTCTTCGTCGCAAGTAACAGCCTCACTTTTCGGCAAATTGGCAACGAGGTATATGGCCAAAAAGGAGCAGAACAAAATAGTGTTGATGGATCTCATTGCAGGGACTAAGCTTCAAAAGAATCGGATGGCTTACTGACTCAATGAAGCTAACGGGTTTCGTTTTATAGCGATTAGTTGGCCTAAAATTCTTAGGCAAGCAGTCCCCCAAAAACAAATCCGCAAATTTGCGCAGCTGTTTCAAAACGATACTTTCCCAAAATGTTCTATTGAACATGCGTATTAATTCAATGGCATTTGCCATCGATTGTTAACTTAGAATATGAGAAAGATAACTTTAATTTGAAGGCATTGGTAATAGAAATTGAATAATATATAATGTAAACAAATATACATATATACGTGCATGTACCATAGTGTTTGCACTTTTTTGTGTTTTTAGACAAAACAGGCAAAGGCAAGTAACATATTGTGGCCGTTTTTCAATGCTTTGTATACTCTGTACCTGAAAGGTACAATCGTATTTTAGGTTTGTGAAGAGTGAAAAATGTTACAGACAAAAGGAGGTGTGGTAGGCCCCACAAAGTAAATCGGCTTAGCCCAGTCCTGTGTTGATTAACATTCAGGAATACTTCTCGTACAGAAAATACACAGATCACAGAATTCCAAATGTTTCGGAAATGCTGTATTTTTGTGCTTCCTGCTATTTCTAATGTAGAGTTTAGTGTAGAGTATAACCAAGGGCGTACGCAGGGGGGGGGGGGGGGGGGGGAAGGTTAATCGCATCGTGCATTATTTAATCAATATTTTAATTTTTTCGCGGCCCCCATTTGTAAAAGCTGCGTACGCCCTTGAGTATGAGTGATACTCATACTCTGGCCAACACACATTTTGGTGCAGAAGATTTTAGATCTGATTGTAAGTATGTCTTGTGAGATGATTCAAAAGAACCAGTCCCATTTTTCTTATCACTTCGATTTTATAAGACGGGGATAAATTGTCTTTTGATGGATTTTCTTGGCTGAAATTGTCTTGAGCAATCACGCATAAGTACCCAGCAATAATCAGCCACCAGTCTCCCTTTGTGCTCATATTTTTTGAAGTTAAGAAGTATTTCCTCGACAAGCTCTATAAAGTTATTAGCCTTGTTTGTTCCAAGGAAGTTTTGCAAAACCTCTATAAAAGAAATCCATGCAAGTTGTTCTTTTTTATACAAAGAAGCTTCAAAATTGGTTGACCTTTTAATTAGTTTACGTATTTGAGGCCCACCTCCTTTTATTTTCCTGAAACAAATAAAACAAGACAGAACGCTTTAGTCGAGCAAGCCCGACAGTGAAATACCCTGTACCCAGACAAACTTTCCTCACTGAGTTAAATGCGGACCTAGCAGAAGCAAAGAGAAGAAGAAGAGCGAGCTTGATACTGCAGTTTGGGGGCGTAGTACTCGTGGGAAATTGTTCCGCTAATAACATTTCTTAGAATTAACCGATTTAGATGAAGTAAGAAAGTAGTTTATATTGATTGCGTGTGCAAAGCTTGGTTAATGCAGCTTTTGAAATGTGGACAGATTTGACAAAATTCTGAAGCAGGGAGGGGGGAGGATAAATCAAAAAAATATACTAGCAGCATTTATACACCAAGTTTGGTTAGTGTGCGCTTATTCGTTTCCAAAATCCGAGCG